CCTTAGGGACATGACACAGATGTGGGTACCAGAGCTTTGTGTTTCCCGGTCTAGGTTGAGCAGATAGTCACAACCAGCCACCTATCTCCCTGGCCACAGCTGACTTTCAGTTGGGACAGTTTCCACCAGCGCATTCTCACTGCAGGAGGGAAGTGCGTGGCCCATTTTCGTTCGAGAGCGCTTGCTTCCTCTGGCTTCTGCAAAGTGGCTGAAAGCTGAGCACCACCCTCTTCCTTGTCCTCAGGGCTTCCGGTGCTTAGGATGATCATGATGCAGTCCCTGCAGGGGACAGACCTGTCCTTCTAGGCTGGCTCTGCTGGCTTCCCAGAGCTCTAATTCTAGTTGCAAGGAAGACAGGTGCTGTGTGGCAGGCACCCCACTGTCCTAACTCTGGAGCTTCAGGCTCTCTCTGGTCCAAGTGGCCATGTGTTCATTCACTAGCACGAGGGCCATGACTACTGTTACTTTGAATTTGGAAGGAGAGGGCAGCTGGCTGTATCAGATGTAGAGCAGAGAGCAGCCAGCGGGCCTTTCAAGTCCACAGTCTGCTGTGGGGGCTTAGGGGCTCAGCAGCTGGGGAGGAAGTGGGCTCCAGAAGTGGGTGACCCTGGGTGGTGACCCTAGGTGGAGTGATGTATCAGACAAGGGGTGGTACACAGCTGAGGTGATGTCTCCCCTCTCTCCTCCCGATCTCTGACTGTGCTGATCCAGGTAGGACTGGATCCTTGCAGTCCATGGCCCATGCAGCTATTGTCCAGTATTTGGGGACTCCTTCAGCGCATCTCAGTCTCCCCCTCACCCTGGAACTCCAGTTTTGGGAGCAGACAGAGAGTCTCAAATTTCTTGCCAGGCCTTGGACATGGCCACAACACCTAGGATGAACCTCTGCACATAGTACCCACCGGGGGCCGCCTCTGTCACAGCACGGGGAGCTCAGAGTGAGGGTCTTACAGACCTTTGGTTGGGTCCTCCAACCATGCCCTTACAGCGACCCAGAGGGACAGACAGACGCCCATCCTGTGCCCAGCAGGTCAAGGCATAGTAGGGTGAGGCAAGGACCCTACTGAGGACAGTGCTTGGCAATGACTCTTCTTGCTCTGCCTGGCCTTGCCTCTGTTTGATGTGTGCCGAGGTGTTACTTCGAACTTCTTCAGAGATTGGTGAACTTCTGTAATCTCAGGTTTGGCTTCCAGTTTTCAGAAACACCTGAGAAGGGAGCAGGGAAGCTGGGAGCTGGGAGCCCAACCTGTGAGGCTCTAGGGCTTGGTGTGGATGTCGGTGGGCTCAGCTTCCCCTGAGCTGGATTCCAGACAATTCTGGTGGCCACTTCTGAAGATCCAATGTACTTTGAGCAGTTCCGGTGGTTATCTGCCTGACTGAGGGGCAGCCACGGTCTGTGTTGTGGGAACAGGCAGGCAGGTGGGCAAGCAGGCTGGATGCAGTGAGGAATTCCTCAAGGTTCAGCCCCTGCCCTCCATCTGCAGGCTTGGGGAACACATGGGTCTTGCCTGGCTTGAGTTGTCTCTTGGGCTTTGGGGCTCTGGATGGAGCTTCTCCAATACTGAGGATGCACTGAGAGTCTCCTCTTAGGTGACAGAGGGCCTGTCCAGAAGCATCCCTGTCAGTCAGAGAAGGAGAGGACCCACAAGAGGGATCCTTGTCCGTCTTCACATCGGTGATGTGCTTAAATAGAGCCTTTGGGTCACACTTACTGAACTTTTGGGGGTCATTATTTAATCAGAGAAAAGATTTCCTTGGAAAGATTTTTTTCCGAGACAAGGTTTCTCTGTGCAGCTTTGGAGCCTATCCTGGAACTCACTCAGTAGACCAGGCTGGCCTCAAACTCATAGAGATCCGCCTGCCTCTGCCTCCTAAGTGCTGGGATAAAAGGCCGTGCGCCACCACGGCCCAGCTCCTTAGGAAGAATTTTAACAAGTTAGAAGTTAAACTTTCTTAGGGTTGTTGGAAACTGAGTGCAAAATTAGGCTATGAAATATTTGTAGTGCTGACCCTTCCATTGCGTGGCTTCAGGTCACCATGTCTTCAGTCTCCAGAACACTTACCTACTTATTTTTGCCAACCTGATAGGAAGAAACAACAAAACAAACAACAACAAAACACTTCTTCCCTTGTGCTTATTTTGCATTTCTTGGTCTTGGGGAGCTTTTCTTAATTCTTTTTTTATGGGGGAGGGTTTGAGACAGGGTTTCTCTGTGGCTTTGGAGGTTGTCCTGGAACTAGCTCTTGTAGACCAGGCTGGTCTCGAACTCACAGAGATCTGTCTGCCTCTGCCTCCCGAGTGCTTGGATTAAAGGCATGCACAATCACCACCCGGCTTCTTAATTCTTCTGCAGAAGCCCATGTGCCATCTGGCTTTGCCAACTACAACAAATGACAATTTTAACTATGGTACTCAAGGTTGGCTTCCCTGGTGCCTGGCTGTCTCTACTGGGCTACCTTTTGTCGACTGTGGGATGCTCAAGAATCTTTGTTGAATGAGTCAACCCATGTGATTTAGTCAGAAGTGCTGGGATTACAGGCATGCAGCACCACCTTTGACTGGCTGGTTGGTTGGTTTGTTTGTTGTTGGTTTTGTTTTGTTTTGTTTTTAAGTTTTTACTTAAATCCATTTCACCTTGCTCTTTCTCCAGGTCCTTTTAAGCTGTCAGAGCCACCCTCACAAGGGGCACAAAGCCCATATTGGATCCACCATGAGATCAGAGTCCATCGGTGCAGCAGGTGAGATAGTCTCATTTGACTTTGACACATAAGAAGGTCACAGGAATTCTTCTGAGGTGCACCTGGTCTCATCATTCAAAAATCAACATTCAGATGTCTATACTAAAATCTGACTCAGCAATACTACACCAAGAGACTAAGCGGAGTTCTGCCTTTAATCCCAGAACTCAGGAGGCAGAGGCAGGCAGAGCTCTGAGTTCAAGGCCAGCTGGTCTGTAGAGCAAGTTCTAGAACAGCCAGAGCTACACACAAAGAAACCCTGCCTTGGTAAAACTACAACAACAAAAAACTCAAGATGCAGCCAGGCAGTGGTGGCACACACCTTTAATCCCAGCATTTAGGATTGGCAGAGGCAGGTAGATCACTGAGTTCCAGGCCAGCCTGGTCTACAGAACTAGTTTCAAGACAGTCAGGGATATGCAGAAAAATTCTGTCTTGAAAAACAAACAAACAAACAAACACAAGAACAGAAAGAGCTCAAAATGCAATGGACTGGGGTTATGGCTCAATTGGGTAGAGTGTTTGTTGAACATACATGAACATGTATGAACATGAATAAACATGCATGAAACCTTGGGTTCAATCTCTACTATCACATAAAACCATGCTAAATAGTGCATGTGAAGTCAGCCTAGTCCAGAGGCTGTCTCAGTCAATCAGTTAATCGATCAGTCATTCAATAAATAGAACTGAAGACACACTTACTTCATCGTTGTTTTTGACAAGTGCTTGAAAAAGCCAAGTACAGGAGTGAGGAGACATTTGGCACTCTTAATGGCTACTTCCTATGAGAGTGACTGGTGGCAAATCATGAGCCATCTGGTGGCCCAAGAGAGCTGTCAGGGGGTCCCAGTAGGCAGTTGACAAGGAGGTCCCCATGGCCTTCCCCGATTCCATTGTCCTCACCCTTCTTTCCACTACTGAGGCTCCTCGCTACCCCAGGTCTGTTTGCTAAGGGGAGTGGGGTTGTGAGGGTCACAGTAACCCTCAGGTGGTATATGGGACAGGACCTAGTTGGTGTCCATAGAGAAGACCCAAAGGCTTATGTGGGCCTGAGCAGGTGGCAAGGGACAGAACCACACCAGGGAATCTGTGGCTGGACAGTGTGGTGTTGTGAAAGGCCAGGGCCCACGCTGGTCCCAGGTTGTGTTTGTTGTAGGTTTCAGTAAGACTGCATGGTGTGTTGGTAGGGGTGGGGAACAGAGATGGAGTATATGAACAGGGATCAAGCAGTCAACCAGAGACAGGGCAGAGGACAGAGGGGTGTGAACCAGGGAGTGAGAACAGACTCCCAGGCCTGGCTGAGGCTGTTTTCCCAGTGGTGACAGAGCTGTCTAAAGGCCTGTAGCTGCCTATCCCTCACCCTCACTGCCTGCTGGCCACACACAGGTCCTGACGCCAACACTTGGCACTGGGTCCGAGGCAGCTCACCACCCCTGGAACCTCAATCTCAGTTTTTCTCTCTAGATGTGGTAACAGCTTGCTTGCCTCCAAGTGGTGAGTCGGGGCACCCAGATTTGTGAGACAACTGCATCTTATGCCCACTGTCAAAAAGGAACTGAAAAAAAGAAGAAGAAGAAAAAAAGACAGACGCTGGCTAGCCCTGAGCTCTGTGGGTGGGAATCCAAAACAGAGCAGATACTGTGGGAAGTAGCACAGGGCTCCTCAAGAGGAAACACAGAGTGGCCACGTCATCACCCAGCAAGCTTGCTTTCGAGCATCCCCAAAAAGGAAATGGCAGGGACAGAAGTTGGAGGACACCTACGCTCACAGAAGCATGTTCATAACAGCCCGGGGGTGGCAAGCAGCTTAGCATCTGTGGACACACGACAAGTAGCCAAGTGTATGCACCTTGTGGAATGTCATCCTGCATGGAGTGTCTCGATGGGCTGCTGTCCTATCTCGAAAAGAGGAGATATTCTGACACACCCTACAAGGTGGACAAACCTCGAGGACGCTATGTCCAGTAGCATAAGAGTGCACTAATGAAGACTCCATCTGCGTGAGGTCCCTCCCTCTACACAAGCAGAGGCGGTGGGGGAGGGGGATCTGGCAGGGGAGGGAGGGTCAGTGTTTCTAGAGAAGCTTTGGTCTGCAGAAGTATCCAGAGCTGGGTAGTGGTGGGCGCAGCACCATGGATGTCCTTAGCGGCAGTAAAGTGCATGCTGGGGGCTGACTCGGATGGAACGTTTTGTGCTATGTGTATTTCATCAGACTTTTAAAAAGCGAGCCTGGAAAATACAGGAGTTGCATGAGAAAGTATCAGGTCCTGTGTCTGGGGACAAGGAGCCCTCACCTGAGGTACAGTGCCGTTCTCGGCTGACATCCAATGACCACTGTGACGCCTCATATGACCGACTGATCATATGGCTAAAGTTGTCCTTCTGAAATCGACCAAGGCTGAGGATTATGACATGGGCAGCTGAGGTCCCAGGGTGACTTCGACAGCTGGCCGAGACACCCAGAGCCATTCCAGCATGTGGGACACATTATTTCTCTAGACAGTTGGGTGTCCGTGTAGACGTCAAGGGATTAATGAGCCCTGGAGTCCTGGGGGAGGCCAAGAAACAGATATCAACCTGGGACCAGGAGGCCCCCAAATCTGAGCCAGGGCATGGCTGAAGGTTTTTGCCATCAGATGGCTACTGTGGCCAGAAAAGGAGGATGTGGGGAGTCCTTACAGAACCTCAGCAGAAAAGGCTGATGCCTGTCCCAACCAGTCTGGTTCTGCTGGCTCCCTCCACCTGGAGTCCTTTTCAACTCCTGATGTGTCTAGTCTAGAGTCTGTGGAGTCTCTTTTATTTAAAATTTTTATTTGTTATTTGTGTGTGTGTGTGTGTGTACCAGGCATGCATTCGCTACAGTGCACGTGTGACGGTCAGAGAGCAACTTTCTGGAGTTGGTTCTCTCCCTGTCCTGTGAGATCCTTAGATCAACCTCAGGCCCTCAGGCTTGGTAGCCAGTGGGTTTTATCCTCTGAGTCACCTCCCCATCCCCACCACCGTTGAGCGTCGTACTTTTTCTTGGTATTATAAATTGTTATAAATCTCCGGGCGGGGGGTGGTGGTTTCCATAGACTCTCATCCACCTTGTCATTTCTGTCCCACAGGAAACAGCACACCTGGGGTCCCCTCCATTCTTCTGACTGTCTCAGTCCCCTCCTCGAAGGTCTGCCGCCCATCCTATGAGGAGAGCAGAGTGGTCCTGGTGGTGGTGTACAGTGCAGTGTGCATGCTGGGCCTGCCGGCCAACTGCCTGACTGCGTGGCTGACGCTGCTGCAGGTTCTGCAGAGAAACGTGCTAGCCGTCTACCTGTTCTTCCTGTCTGTCTGTGAGCTGCTCTACATCGGCACTCTGCCGCTTTGGATCATCTACATCGAGAACGAGCACAGGTGGAGCCTGGGTCCGCAGGCCTGCAAGGTGACTGCCTACGTCTTCTTCTGCAACATCTACATCAGTATCCTTTTGCTGTGCTGCATTTCCTGCGACCGCTACATGGCAGTGGTCTATGCACTGGAGAGCCGAGGCCACCGCCACCAGAAGACTGCCATCATCGTTTCTGTGATTGTGTTCGTTCTTGTCGGACTTGTCAACTACCCAGTGTTTGACATAAAAATGGAGAGGAACTCCTGCTTCGAGCCGCTGGATATGAACAGTAAGATAGCCAGCTATCACTACCTGCGCTTTGCCTTTGGCTTTGCCATCCCTCTTGGCACTCTAGCCTTCACCAATCACCGAATCTTCAGGAGCATCAAGCTGAGCTCGAGCCTGAGTACGTCGCAGAAAGCTAAGGTGAAGCACTCTGCCGTGGCAGTCGTCACCATCTTCCTGGTCTGCTTCGCTCCCTACCACCTGGTGCTCCTCATCAAGGCTGTCAGCTTTTCCATCATCGGAGGGGACGAGGATGCCGTGTGTGCCTTTGAAAGCAGGCTGTACACAGTCTCCGTGGTGTTTCTGTGCCTGTCCACAGTCAACAGTGTGGCCGACCCTATCATCTATGTGCTAGCTACAGACCATTCTCGGCAAGAAGTGTCCAGAATCCACACAGGGTGGAAAAAGTGGTCCACAAAGACATATCTTACAGACTTTAAGAACTCAGAGGAGACACACTTACCCACGGCGCTTACAAACAGCTACACCTTCCCCAAGCCAGTGCACCCTCCAGGATCACAGCTGGCTGAGCTGGACCAGCTGGACTTGCGGTGCTCCCCAGAAAGACTGCCTGAGGAATTCTGCTAAGCCTACTCTACCTCAGGGGACGATGCTAAGCCTCAAAACCAGCTCGTCACAGATTCCTTTGAGCCACCATCTAGGGCGTCCATAGCACTGTAGATGCCATCCTCAGGGTCACACTGCTGGCCTTTCCTAAGGCCACTCAACCCTGTAAATGTCTATTCCTTGGATGTCCAAAACCTCTAGACTCTCCTATACGGAAAGTATCAGTGTTCTGAGAGCACCATTTCTATCCCTAGGCTGCCAGGGACTCGGGGAGCATGTGACTAACAGGAGAGCTTGTCATTAGCAGCTTGCTCTGCAGGGCTCCCCACAGCATCAGCAGGGCATTGGACAGGGCACTGGACGATGACTTTATTTTCTATGCATTTCTGCATTGTTCAGTGGCTACTGCAGTGTATATTGGGACTTTCCACAGGGCCAGACATGACCTGCATCCAGGGTTACCATCATGGCACCTAGGGCCTGTGACACGGCCAAAGAGCCATAGGGGGTTAGGAGTCCTACCCTGAGGGCTCCCACTGGGGGCTGGTTCTGTGTAGACATACTTGTCTTCTAGGGGAGCCGTGGGGCATGGTGGCCAGTTGCTCCAGCTCCTGGTAGCCCCATATATCCACCCTAGGGACCCCTCTACCCTTTACATTAGGAAGTGCTAGTAGACACCCCAGAAAGAGTTTGACACAGCTGCTACAGGATAAGGGGGTATCTGGCATCTGACATGCCTTTCTTTGCCTTGCAACTTTTGGTGTCGGCATCTCAGGGGAAGTAGGTGGGACCTCCTGAAAGGGTAAGTCAGGAGAAAGGCTCTCTGCCCGTTTTCTCCAATGCTGGATCAGAGAGGAAGACCTCAGGGCTCCGCCATAAGAACCTTGTCTTGGCCTAGTCATATTCACGCTCTGTTAGCTACCTCACCAGGTCACTCACTGTTGGGACTGACCCCTCCTGCCCAAGAGACTCCCACATACTTGGAGTTCAAGGGCTAGAGACAATGATCTCAGCGTGCTTTGGAGACCGCCCCTCTGAAGCACATCACAAAAGCTGCACAGAGACGACGGTGATGAGCAATGCCGTCTGAAGTTAACTTTTGATGTGTGTTGTGAGAAGTATTGAGAAAAGGAGAATAAGATCAGGAAAATAGAAGTCGGTCCTAATTTCCTTTGGTTATTGCTGTTTATCTTTTTTTTTTTTTGAGACCTGGTTTCTTGCAGCTCAATAAGTAGCAGAGGATGACCTAGAACTCCTGATCCTCTGTCACCACCTCCCAAGAGCTGGTGTCACCAACATGTAGTACCAGCCTTTTAATGGCATTTTGTTCGTGTGTGTGTGTGTGTGTGTGTGTGTGTGTGTGTGTGTCTGTGTGTCTGTAACATGTATGGAGGCCAATGGTTAACACCTGACATCTTTCCCACTTGCTGTGTCTCCCCTTTACTTGTTGAGGCGGGGTTTCACGATGAACCCAGAGCTCACCGCTTTGGCTTGCTCCAGGAATTCCCTATCTCTGCCTTGCAAGCAGAAAGGTGGTCCAAGCAGGTCGCCATGCTCACCCTCCTGCCTCAGCTTTTTGTTGTTTTTTGAGATGGGGTTTCTGTCGTGTAGCCCTGGCTGTCCTGGCACTCACTCTGTAGACCAGCCTGGCCTTGAACTCACAGAGATCCCCCTGCTTCTACCTCCTCAGTGCTGGGATTAATGGAGCTTATTTTACTGCAAACAAAAGCACATATTCTTGAAAGACTAAGAAGACAAAAGATTCCAGAAAATGCTTCCACTGGAGACACCATGGCTACCGTTGTGTGGGTGATTGCCGGTATACCCCACCATAGGGATTTCCCAGTAGATCTGAGGCCACCTCTGCAACAAGGCTGGGAATCCCCACTTTTGTATGAGTGAGCACATGTGTGAGTGACTGAACACAGACATTTTTTTTCATTTTTTACCACTGAGCTAAATCCCTAACTGGGAATCCCCAGTTTGCTGGGTTATCAGGGAAGCCAGTAAGGTCAATAGTGGCTGAGGCCGGAGACAGACAAGGATGGGGCTGAGGGGCAACCTGAAGGGGTCTGGGATGGGCGTGTCTCTGCAGGTTCCTGTGAGGGATGCATGGGGCAGGCAAGCTACTTGAGGAGACCCACGTGGACCTGGGCAGGCTGGGCACTGTGGCTGTCTACACACCAACTGTCTTGGGCTTCCCCAGCTTGGAGACAAAAACATAGCCCCTAGCAGGAAGGGTGGTGCTAACCCAAGGGGCAGTAGCCTGAGGAACCTTCCACCCTCCACAGGCTTGGTCTGTACAGGAAGGTACCAGGCTACAAGCCAAGCGCCTGTTGCATGCTAGGCTGTGGAGGGCCTGGCTTTGCCTTCGCACCAAAGCCCTGGCCTCGCTGGTGTGTGCAGTGGACACCTGAAGAGGTGGTGGGAGGGGCTGGCGGGGAGTAGGAGCTCAGCCCACCCACCTACCTTTTGACTAGCGTTCTTACGCTCACATTAGCAAAGATCAAGTCAGGGTTTTGTCATCACTGACCACAAACTTTTCAAACATCTTGGTCCGATCGTGGAAACTTCCTGAGCTAGCGGCTAAAGAGTGGGCCAGATACTCCCTTCCTCCATCCCTCCAGTTCAGCCATGGCTCCTCCCACTCACTGACTCACTCTTCACCGGGTGACTCTCACCCACTTACTCCTCGCTCCCCACAAGCACACTCATTTATTCACTCATTCACTCACTCACTCACTCATTCACTCATTCATTCACTCATTCACTCACTCATTCACTCACTCATTTATTCACTCATTCATTCATTCACTCACTCATTCACTCATTCATTCATTCATTCACTCATTCATTCATTCACTCACTCACTCATTCACTCATTCACTCACTCACTCATTCACTCATTCACTCACTCACTCATTCACTCATTCACTCACTCACTCATTCACTCATTCACTCACTCACTCATTCACTCATTCACTCACTCACTCATTCACTCATTCACTCACTCACTCATTCACTCACTTACTCATTTATTCAC